CTTTCTTTCTTTCTTTCTTTCTTTCTTTCTTTCTTTCTTTCTTTCTTCCTTTCTTTCTTTCTTTCTTTCTTTCCTTCTTTCTTTTTATTTTATTTTATTTTTTATCAAGTACCATGTTTTTTGCATGTAACAATAAGTGACTGACAACGATACTGGATTTTGTATTTTATCTTCATTAATTCAACACAGAACGATGTCCTTTGGTTGTTTTCAGACTTTTAAATCCTCTAACATTATTGGTAATATTTCATTGCATTAATAGCTACTTCTAATGACCCGGGTCACCCGATAGGAACTTGTGCTCTAATCCTATTAACATGAGGCATAGTGGCCATGTCACCTGACCTGCCACTGTCTTCCCAGATGCAACATTTGTTCCCCTGGTGGGGCTGCCCCAAAGTGCTTAGTAACAGGGAGAGGTCAGGAATTGATTCCTGGTTTCTGAAATGACAGATCTGCTCAGCTCAACTTCCAACGTTGAGGATGAGAAGGAGGGGGAGATGCCAGCTGGTCCACACCTCTTTCTATGTGCAGGACAACACCCAAGTCTTCAGCTGACCTGCATTAGTGATGTGTGAGCATGCTCTTTGCTTCAGGTAGACTGGAATGTAATCCTTGACTGTGAGTTCATCTGCCTAATGTGCCATGTGAGATATTGTGTTCGTCCAACCATTGGCTTTCCAGGGGCTCCCTTTCTCATGGTTTTGTCCTTTAACAGGAAAATTTTCTTCTTGTTGTTGAATATAAAAGAGATTTGTTGAACTAGAAACAGAAACAATTCAAAGTGAACAATATTGTTTTCTTTGTGTTCCAGAGACAACACCAAATATCTTATCTCTAAACCTGTGAAACATTCATAAACAATAAAACAATTTATTTTATAGTGTGAACAAAAATTCAATTAGAATTCATGTAGCATCATTTAAATCTATAACTTTAAAATATTTTTAAATTTATTTTTAAATAAATTATGTGTACAGGTCACTGAGTCTATTCATATCTACCACGTGATGGCAGGTGTCTGTTAAGGCTAGAAAAATGATTTGGGTACCCTGGTACTTGTTATGGGAAGTTTTGAATCACCATGTGGGTCCTGGCAATTGAATCTGGGTCCTCTGCAAGAGCAGCAGATGCTCTCAGTCCCTGAACTGTCTTGCTTGTCCCCTAAAATTATGTTATTAAGGGGAGCAAGAAGTTCAGTGGTTAAAGGTGCCTTATTCCAAGTCTGACAACTTGAGTCTTACTTCTGGATCTACATGGTAGAAAGAAGAAACAGCTCCTATGAGTTGTC